TGTACATCCTGTCCATCCTGTCAGTGTACATCCTGTCCACCCTGCATGTCAGTGTACATCCTGTCCACCCTGCATGTCAGTGTACATCCTGTCCACCCTGCGCATCCTGTCCGCTCTGCGCATCCATGTACATCCTGTGCATCCTGCATGTCAGTGTACATCCTGTCCACCCTGCACATCCTGTCCACCCTGTGCTATCATAACACATATACCTAACAGGCAGCTGTTGGCTGGCCTGATGGCTCAAGCCTGTAATCCTAACACTTCAAGAGTCTAAAAATGGAGAGATCGCTTGAGGCAAGGAATTCAGGATTAGGGTAAACTGTGATTGGCCCCCCACTCCAGCCTGAGGTGAGGGAGTGATAGAGGGAGAGAAAGGAAAGTAAATCTTTTGAAGGTCATAAATGAAGATCATACAAAAATTATATTGACTGGGAAGACAATCATAAAAATATCAATTTCCTCAAATTAACATGTTAATGTACCATGATTTCACTTTGAATTTCAACTGAGTGAGGTTTTGAAATTGAAATGGAACTAAATGACCTTAAAGTTCAAGTGAAAGAAGAAATGACTACTTTTTCTCCCCACTTTTCCTTCACAATTATTAATCAGTTCAGTAGAATTGAGTCTAGAAATAGAGCCCAGTACATAAGAAGTTAATATACGACAAAAATACACTTCAATAAGAAAGAATATTACTTAGTAAAAAGCTGGCACAACTAGCTATTCATCCAAAGAAAATAAAAGATCAACCAGTATATCATGCAAAATACACTTTCCAGAAATATTTAAACTTTCCAAACAATAAAAATTTGAGAAGGAATCTTAGAGATTAGAAGTCTAGAGATAGGATAGACCTTAGCCAACTCAGAAAACTCCAAAGGTATCTTTAAGATTAAAATATTTTAAAATAAAAATATTGTATCTATTTACATTAAAATAAAATTACGATAAGCCTGTCATAAGTTAAAAATGCATTTACTATCCCAATAAACTCATTGTAAAGTCAAAAAATCATTAAGTCAAACCAATGTGATTTGGGGACTGTTGGTATATTTAAATCTAAGACTTAATTAGCAAAATATATTGCAAAGTCAGATTTGGAAAAATATAACACAGGAGGCCAAGGCAGGTAGATTGCTTGAGCTCAGCAGTTCAGACCAGCCTGAGCAAGAGTGAGACCCTCTCTAAAAATAGCTGGGCATTTTGACAGGCACCTGTAATCCCAGCTACTTGGGAGGCTAATGCAGGAGGATCACTTGAGCCCAGGAGTTTGAGATTGCTGTGAGCTGTGATGCCTGCAGCACTTTACTGAGGGCCACAAAGTGAGACTCTTATCTCAAAAATATATATATGTGTGTGTGTGTGTGTGTGTGTGTGTGTAACACAGATAAAGGATAAAGAGTTAATGTTCATGAAATATAAAGAGTGCATAGAAGTTGAGAAGAAACAATTCAAAAGAAAAATAGATCAAAGATAAGACTAGGGAGCTCAGAAAAGAGCAATTCCCAGTGACCCAGAAACATAAAAAGACGCTCTAACTAGTAGCCACAGAAATACAGATCCCAGTACCAAAGAGCCCAACACACGGGCAAAGCTGCAAAGACAGCGTTCTGGAGTCCTGGACGGGGTCAGAGGGCAAGAAAGGCCTTCTTTCCTGCCAATGGAACTATGAGCCAGTATCTGTTCAGATTCACCCCAGCACTTCCACTCTTACTATCTACACCAAAGAAATCAAAGGATGTATATACACACCATAGAAGAAAAAGCAATAGAATAATTGAATTATGATTCATACATAACATAGAACATTATGCAGTCATTTAAAAATGAGTTTGATAATTACAGGTCGACTTAGAGGGGTCTCTATAAGGTACTGGATGTCAATAAAGCGAGACACAGAGGGCAACGTGACGTCAGGCTGTTCACACGCATTATCCATCAGGTGACGCAGACACAGAGGGCAGTGTGACGTCAGGCTGTTCACACGCATTATCCATCAGGTGACGCGGACGCAGAGGGCGATGTGACGTCAGGCTGTTCACACGCATTATCCATCAGGTGACACGGACGCAGAGGG